CCGAATTTTGCATTTTAAGTCAAAAATCAATTTAAAACAATTGCGCTTTTTCAGAGACTTCATTGTTTTTACTAACTTCAAGGCCACACCTTCAAATTATATTTTTCAGTCATCAACGACCTGTCAAGGAAAAGCCACAGCAAAATTTTTCGTAACTTACACAAATTTGAGTAAAACTGGGAATTCGAAACAATTTTTCCAGACAGAGAGACAAGAAGTTCACCACTACCCCACGATTGAGAACTGTTTCGAACTTATAATTTTACACAAAACAAAAACAAATCAATTTGATGTTTAACGAAAAAAAAAACCGAGCTAGTTTGCAACTTCAAGTTTTTTGCTCGGCAGGCTATATCTTATCTTCTTCAATACCTACACTGCGATGAATTCCTGTCACGAGAACTAAGTCAAACTAGAAGTCTTGATAAAACTAGGGCCAAATCGTATCGTCGTAGGTCTCTGCTTCGCCTCAATCATGTCTCGGCACTATTTCACCGCATTTTATCTCGACTCAAATTTTAAGTTAAACACCGAAAAAAAGCAAACGCAAAAAATTTCCAATAACTATTTTGAATGATTTATAGCTTGAAGATCGTAACTATTTCGAAATTCCATAACATCGTCCAATAAAGTTGTTATTAACTATAAAAAATTAATATGAAAAACACACGGAAAACAGAACTGTGAGCGTTAAATTAGCATTGACACAAAATTACCAAGCGGTAACTGAACCAACAAAAAATGGGTAGATGCCCGTTGAGCCAAAAAAAATAAATAAAACTTTCGAAACTCGATGTTTGGATTATTGCCACCCGGAGAACACACGAATAAAAGTTCTTTTTCGCCCTAAAAAAGACGCAATATCGCAACTGAGCCATATAACACAAGTCGAAACTATTTAAGCCAAAGTAAACCTTAAAGGCGAAAAAGTTTTGAAGCTTTTATGTAAAGTCTTGAAACTCCATCAAATGCCCCTTACGAATGTTGGAATGCTTTAAAGGAGAAATAGCTGGACATTTTTTTTGGAACTTTATCGCACTAGATTAAGCATGTGAACAAAAATCATATTAGAGTATATTGTTTCCAATATAGGTCCACATTCACAAAAAAAAATACAAATTATCATTTATCTTAAGACCCAGTCAGGGAGATTGCCATAAGACGAATTATAACTATTTTCAGACAACACAACTCGCAAAAAGACAACTCTTAAAAAATGGCAACTCGTATAAAAGACAACTCTAGGGGAGCGTACAGGCACACAGGGGAGTAGACGAACTTTCAATTGATAAACCCTTTTTCGAAACCAGCTTCAACTAAAATTTTTCCAATGAATTTGGAGATACTTTTCCATTATGAAAAAAAAATCACTGAACCGATTGGTAAACATACAAGCAACGTTTGGTAAACATACAAGCAATCGTTTTTTTAAGCGAAACACAAAACCCAAGAAGGAAATACGAAGTCAAGGTAAGTAAAAATACAAATTGTAGGATTCAAGTTAAACAAAAAAAGAAGTAAACACGAAGTCAAGGTAAGTAGAATTACAAAGAAGAATTGTAGGAGTAAATCAAACACTAAAAACAACATTAAAGAAAAATGCGCAGCAGAAAAAAAACCGATTTTAAGATCTGACAGCGAAGTCGACAACAGATAAGCAGCCAAACAATTGGCCGACAATTTTATACGAAACAGAATTATTCCCAGGCATATTCGTTACCTCCAGGCTAAGTAGGCCCAGAACGCATTGAAGTTGGAATTCATTATCAACCAAGATACAAGTGATTCTGTTGACCAAGTTGTTAACTCGAAAAAAGTCTAGATTCCATTTTGATAACGCTTGCAAATCGCAAGCGTAGAATGGTTGCTTTCATGAACATAGCCCCTTGAAGATTGAAAAAGAGTATTGAACGCAAGTAAACATAAAAAACACTAACTTTGAAAAATCTCAACTTTCGATTTTCAACGAAAAAAAAATAGATGATCTTTAAGCTCTTTGAATTTCTAGAACGATTTATGATTGGCGCATTTGACAGCTTTTTTGACAGCATTAACCCAATTTGAGAAAACTGGATCAATACGTAAAACATTTACTTCGCTGACAAAACTGAAACCTAATTTCCAGTTTCGAAATTTTGCTGTTCGATAGGAGAGTTTACCTACCTTTTAACAATGGAAATACACTGAACTTAAAAAAAAATCACTAGTCAAACCGCGAAAAATCGAAACTGAGCCTGAAAAAAAAATCAGCGAGACCTATACAAGAGTCTTCACTGCGTTCATTACTCTTAAAAAAGTGTGCTTCCCGCTTACCAGACACTTGCTATCGCATGTTACATTCTTATTTTACCCGCAAACGGTTTTTTAGATACAGCTCGCTTAGTGAGAATACCAGCTTTAGGAACACGCTCAAATTCTTGAACCAGCATTTAGTCACCAAAAGCTTGACAACTATAGAGAGTTGCAAAAAGTTCGGACAGACAGAATTAATTTAAAAGAGCAACTGTCTAGGCATCAACGGAAATTAAAACTGAAATAAATTTAACGTCGAATGTTCATAAAGCAGAGTTTCCACTAAAAACTTTTAACCACGGCGGGCAATTGCATTCCGAAGTGGAGTAGGCACTTTAAGGGCAAGATTTTGCGCATAATCTTCTGGCAAAGAAAACCAAACTTTTTGGGCAGCTTCTTCAGGAGTTTTTGGTGGATCTGAAGCCATTTTTTTCTTTATTCTTCCCCACACATTTTCAATTGGGTTTAGATCGGGGCTATATGGGGGCCATTCGAGAAGGGAAATATTTTTTTCTGGTAAATAATTTTTCGTCACATTTGCAGTATGGGGTGTGGCATTGTCTTATTGAAAAGCAAACGTTCTTCTTCGGGAGTTCAGTATGTCCACACTAGGGAGCAGAAAATTTGGCAAAGTTTCATCTGTAAAATGCTGGGCGTTCATTGTGGAATAGAACGTTTCAAAACAGTCGAAACCAAAAAATGAAAAAACAACCCCAGACTGTCACATTTCCACCCCTCTGAATTTGGGTATCGATTGAAATTCGTGTTTCAAATCGCTCGCTTGACCGTCTCCAAAAATATATCTGAGTTTTTTCTCGTTTTCCTAAGTTTCACAACTATTTCGTCGGAAAACATAACCCGACTCCAATCGAAATTCAAATAACAATTTGCATTAAAATTATTTACTTCAACTGTCCCTCCTCTACAACAGCACTAATTGAATTGTCTATGAACTGCGTCTTATGCAGTGATCTGCAACCCCGTATACAAAGGATAGCGCTCCTGAGCAGCGCGAAGCTTATCTTAGTTCTTATTTAGTTTATTGTTTCTGCGTAGCTTTCATGCCTTTTTTCACTAAGTTTTTCAGCTATGCGCTGCATTGTCCGAGTAAGTGCTGGTGCGGCACCACCAGTGCAGCCAAAAATGAGCGGGCAGAAGCTGCTTTGTTCGACTTGTAGAGCTCTGTTGGTATTTTGAGTTTTTAGTGATTCGTGGTACTTATAGGCGTCTTTCAGTAGTCTTCGTGAAGTTTTTGTGTGCGGGTTGAAGACTTTAACATCAAAGAAGTTTCGGCTCTCGCCTTGCAATGACTGAAGTTTCGGCTCGATTTCAACATCAAAGCAAACCTCGCTCATGAGGGTGGCAAAGGTATCTCTGATTTCGTTATGCCTCATTAGGGTGTATCTACCCCTTGCACAGTGAAGGGCGTGGGTAAGGTCGAAAGATTGACCACATGCAAATTTGAGCGGAATGTTGGTTGGTTCCCATCCATATCTGAGATAAATTCCATCCCGGAATTCGGATTTACTCAGGTTAAAATTATATCCGCTATGAGGCAGCGCATTTAGCCAGTTTGAGGCTCCTTTTTCGGAGGCCAGCTCAAGAGCGTATTTTTCATTGTCACTTAAGTTGTTCAAAATGTTAGTTTTCTTTGGTTTTTTCTTTCAGTTTTAAGTGTTTTAATTTTTGTATAGATTTTTTCATGCTCAGATATAGCTGTTAATGGGTCGTATGTGTCTAGGACTTACGATGTATTAATTGACCATTCTAAAAAAATTCTCATAGTTAGAAGGTAGCTTGATATTTAGAATACCCGTTTTCAAGGGCAAAGAAGCGATGTCTCTAAATTAATGGCTGATATTATCTTTAGCAATTAAATTTGGAATGAGATTTTCCTGCAGTATCTTTTCGCAGGCCTGCATGTTTTCTGTGGTATTGGGTGTAGTTCTAGCTAAAAACGATAATTTTTCTTGAACCCCTTTGGTGTAACAGGAGTACACGTTTTGTGGTGATGTTTTCGCGATCTTGCCAAGTTTTTTCAGTATTTTATTATGTTCTTCTAACTGAGTTTCTAAGAAAGTTTTACATTCAGGCTCGGATCCTATGACAGAACCAAGTACTCTGGCCCCATTCTTCATTTCAATTTCGGTATTTTTGAATACTTTTATCGCCTCATTGTATTTTTCATCTTTTACAATGAGCTGGCATTTTGATGCCTTTACATGATATCCAAAATATTTTCCGTGTTTGATAATGTTGTCAAGAACTCTTCGCAGGCTTTTCAAATTACCGACTGCGTTACCATCATCTGTAAACCATTTCTGTGTTAGGCTGTTATCGTTGACTAGTTATCGTTGACTAATTTTTTTTGTTGAATAAAACTCCTTGATATTCGTCTTTGTAAAACATCATAAACGGTAGATTTCGACTTTTTAACTAATTTTGCTAAATGTTTTATTGTAAAATCTGGAATTTCATCGCAGTATTTAAAAATTAGGCTTGCATAATCATCGGATAATCGACGACCTCGCATTTTGAATTTGGTCTGACAAAAAACTCAAGGTTGTTCGGTTTCACATTTTGCATGCAAAAAAAAACGTCGAAAAGCACTGATTGCTCATTTTTATTAATTCTGTCTGTCCGAACTTTTTGCTGCTAAGTATATTTTGGAAAGAAAAAAACTCTGGCACAACTTCTTGGTGTCTTACCAAACTCCAGGCGCCGATTGGAATTTATACATGAAGACGACATCGTCTGACTGAGCTATCGCGATCTTTGTTCCACTCGGATGGAAGGCAATTCCTTTTACCACAAATGACTGATTTCCAAACAAAGTCTAAAAGCCAAACATTATAAAGTTAGCACAACATCTGCAAGTAAAAATGAAACTGAATAAATCCGTCAACATTTTTAAACTGATTTTTTCCAACAGCCAATTTGGTGACAAAATCTATCATGTTTGATTACTCTTTCTCAAAGAATAGATTTATACTACACCAGCTAACACTCAAAGCTGCTCAATGAATTCCGGTCATAACAAACAGCCTAGAAGATTACTTTAAAATTTCAGTTCGAGTTGTAGTTTTCTTACGTTTTTCTCTCTAGCCTTTAGAGTGAAGACTTCTTTGTGACTCGATAAATCTTCAGCATCGTAAATAAACAACCGCTTTGCGGCATTGACAAATGCAAACAATTTTCCATCATGAGACCAGGCGGCTGCTTGAATTTTGACTGCTCCATCCGACTATAATAAAATCATCATTTTCAATCTCAAACCCAACTCTTATCAGAAAAAAAAACGTTCAGTTAGATTCCAATAAAAAAATGCCACTTACAATGTCGAGACTGGATTCTCCTGATCGCTGAAACAGAAAATTGTCGTTGATATATGCATAAAAGGAAAATTATTTCAAACACGAACTTAAATACGTTACCGATGGATTGGAAATATTTTTGCAGTATTTGAGTTTTAGCTCGTAATTTGCCATTGTGTATCTAAAAACTCCTGGAAGACTAACGATTACGGTATAAACAACAGACGAGCCCAAACAGCCCTGAATTTGACACCTGTAAAATCTCACAATGCTTGACAACTATTTTGACAAGTTGAAAGGGAATACAGCAAGAGCGGATTAAAAAAGGCGCAAGATTGCCTGTATGATCACTACTAACTGAACTGAAAACAATAAATGTAGCAGTAATTCACACAATTTTACGAGGTGAAGAATGATAGGTTCTGAAGCCATTGGCTCAAGAGCCAGAGACACTATCTCTTGTCCTTTTACACCTCAAACTGACAAACTTTGATATCGTAACAGCTAAAGGCTTTTACCAAAATACCACCACTCTAGATTGAAATAAGCACATTCCCATGATCAAGTCTTTTCATATCGAAAACACACGAACGCCTTTCAAAACAGGGTTAAGAAACTCGAGTAAGTATTATAGTTTTTACTAGTCAGTGTGCATCTCATCCAGTTCAGATCGATCAACATAAAACTCAAACTATCTCACAGAGATAATAAAAAAAAACAAAAAAAAAACACTTTAATTGCACATCGAAAGTAATTTCAATACCAAGTGTATGTCAAATGTTTTCTGTTTTTTTTCTATCAGTTCATAAAAATATTATAACATCATTAGATACACATAGTTACAACAACAATAAACAAAACAAAATCTATTACAATCATCGATGATTACTTTTCACCTGAGAGCTTCAAGGTGGTTTATATATAAATGTTATTATATAAACTTGAAGCTTTTCCATGAAACTTTACCATGAGTTGCCACAGAGGGGTCTTCTTTAAATAATAATAAATAATAATTGTTGAATTTTATCTTTGCTTTTCTGTATGTTACTATGTCTTTAAAGTTGACTTTATCATCTGTTAGTTTGTTCCAGATTATGACGGACTTTTTAAAGCAGGAATTTTCTATGTATTGCCCATTGTATCTGTCGCCGAAATATAATTTTTTGTTTCTTGTATTAATATCTATTTGATGGTTATCATACTCAATGATATAATAGGCTGGCAATAACTGATGTTGTATTTTCCAAAAAAGACAATATTTTATAGTCCAGAAACATTGTTACTGGTAAAATAGTGTGTTTTAGCTTCAAGTCTGAAGATGAGTCGTATTTTGCACGATCGCAGCAAGTTTTTACTGCCCAGCTTAACTGTTTTTCCAGAGATATCATTAGGTTAGCGGATATTCCAATGAAAAGAATTGCTGGGTAATGCAAATGACTAATTACCAGTGCATGCATTATCAAGAGTCTTGTTTTCACTGGCAATGGCTTTATGATTGGTGAAGTGTTTTTATTCCGCATGCCATTTTCCTGAGAATCTTTTTGATTTCATCTTGGATTGTGAGAAACTGATCTAAAACTACTCCTAGGTATTTAACTTTGGTTTTTTCCTTAATTATTTTATCATCTAGAGTTATAGTATACTTTTCATCCTTTTTCCTTGAATGTTTTTTGCTGAAAACGCTGAGTTCTGTTTTTTTTTGCATTCAATTGAAGTGAGTGTTCTAAAAAATAATTTGCAACAGACTGCAATTGGCTTCGAGTGCTTTAATAGCTTTTTGTGGATCGTTATTTTCACAGAATAGTAATGTATCATCCGCATATTGAACTATGTTACATGTTTTGTCAATTTGTTTGTTGAGATCGTTAATGTAGAGATTGAATATTAGAGGGCCAAAGACAGTGCCCTTTGGTACACCCTGCTCAAGTGCAATCCAATCGGATTCGGTGTTGTTAACAATTGTTTTCTGGCTTCGGTTGGTGATAAAGGAATTGATCATTTCTATAGCTTCTTCGGAAAAGTTTAACCCTTTTAGTTTCTGTTTAAGATAAGTATGATCAATAGAATCAAACGCTTAAGAGAGATCCAGTAAGGAACATGCTACAGTTTTGTTGTTGTCTATTGCTTTTCTGAATGCTTCAGTGCAATAAAGAAAAGCGTCGATTGTTGAATATGATGTTCTGAACCCAAAATGGGTATTACTTAGTAATTTTTGGGATATCAGATATTCGTTGATTTTTTAACAATTTTTCAAAAACTTTTGAGAGAGCCACAGTTATAGAGATAGGCCTATAATTTTCTCATAGTTCTGGATCCTCTTTTTTGTATATTGGTGTGACAATTGTTTTTTGAGCTTGCAAGGATAATTCTTGTTTTTCAAAAACTCGTTGTGTAGAAATGTCAGATGTGTGTATATTTCATTGCAGCCATCCTTCAACGCCCAGGCTGGAATTTTGGATGAAACTGGTGCCTTTTGACCACTTAAATTATGTATTTTTTTTTACATTCAGCTGATGTGATGAATCGGAATGAAAATTTAACATTATTTTGAACCCTGCATGTAGAAGTCGGTGGACTTTGCCTGATTTTTGAATTTTTCTCATAAAAGCATCCAAGAGTTGAGAACTTGTAGTTTAGCAGGTTCGCCATCTGTAAATTATTGGTTATGAAATTGCCGAAGGAGTTTCTAAGTAATGGAATGAGGTTGGAAGATTTTTTTGAGTTTCTTGTATCGTTTATTATACTCCATTTTTTGCGTTCGCTTTTTTCGAGTTAAACAGTTGGGATATAAATTTATCATCTTCGTAGTTTACCTTTGGTTTGTCGTTGCGAATGAAATTATTCTTCTGTGGGGCACATTCTTTAATGGTGTCAGCAATGTTAGATGTGAAGATGTCGAGCATTATTTCGGGATTATTATTGCTATAGAAACTTCTCCAAAACATAGCTGATAGTTTTTTTTTGAAATTGTAATCGGATTAATTGGATTTGTCATATATTTTACTTTTGATTGGTCTTACGTTGTTGTTCAACTTAAGTTCTGTAATAAATGCTGTTGCTTGGTGGGAGGTCTTAATTGGTGGTGTGAATACTATTGAATTATTTGTCAGATCTTACATGCCTAGGTCGGTGATAATATAGTCAATTAGTGCTTTTGAGTGAGTAGGTGTTAATTTGTTAGTGACGTCCAGATTATATGGTATTAGGATTGTATCTAAAGACTGTTTGTCGTCTTCGTTGAGTTAGTTGAGATTGTATTCTCATAGTAAAATTAGGTTTGAATTAAATGACTGCGCATGGTCAATTGATTTGGCTAGATCTGTCTGTTTTGTTGTTTCTATTAGGATTGTAGGCTAGGTTTAATAGAGCGGTTCTATCATTTTTGTTGAGTCCGGCTTTAAGTTCTATCCAGATGCTATCATACTTTTTGTGCATGTTGTTTAAGTCATGTCTTACTTTTGGGTTTAACTTTTTAGGAACCAGTAACATGACCCCTCCACCCTTCAATTTTTTACTTGATTCATAAATTCTATCACATCGGAACAACTTATGTTTGTCAATGTCTATGGCCCATAGTTTATCGTCACTTGTATCATTGAACCATGTCTCAGAAAATCCGAAAATTGTATTATCATTAAAAGTTTTGATAAGTTGTTTGATATCTGAACGCTTTCTAGCTAAACTTCTACAATTAAGATGTAGCACTTTTAAGTTGTTGTTGTAGTTTTCCAGTTTTTTCTTTGTTTGACTGAATTCCATGAAGGGTCCAGGATTTGGGTGGATATCCCCTGATTTTAGGAGAGTTTTATGACTGGACCTTTCTTGTTTTTTATAAGTCTTGCTTGTGTTTTTTATATAATAATTGTAATAGTAATAGCTTATATTATTAAGTATAGTGCAATAATATTTGTTCGAGTATATTGTGGCAACCCATGGAAACAGATACTTTCCTTTTCTTTTATTCAGTACCTCATAAGCTACAAATTGATCGCTTTCGCAGAAGCTGATGACAGATATGCTAGTTAAGGCAAAAGGTAACAGCATATCGCTTTGTAGAACAGTTATATTTTAAATTACAAATAATCAGACAGAGATTGCTCAAGTAAATGAACTTTGTAGCTCAAGACATAGTAACAACGACTCTTGAATCAACTCGACGGAAAGTAGAGTTAAGCCTTATAATGATTGACTACCATCTTGATAAAGCCTGTCGTGCTTTTAACCGTCACTACCAAAGCCAAAGGCTCTATCGTAAAAGCGGGTCAACGAACCAGTTAATTCTTAAAGGCTATCGGCCGAACCCTGCAAAATTACTAAATCACAGGCAGAAGCAGTGAACGACGTCACTGCTGAAATCAGGATAACATTTTCGATCCGACTTTCGAAGAAAGTGCGGAGAAAACTTATGCTTGGTGTGGTTTTTTTATCCAGTCAATTTTCGAATTGTCAATTTTTTTAGCTAAGCGTTTTTGACAAACATTTTGTACCATCTGTGAGATATTGTTATCCTAAGCTCCTCTTTAAACAATTTTTTCAACTGTGATCATTCTTCATGAAGGTTAAAAGAATGAAGAATGATAAAAATCGAAGGTTAAAAAACGCTTTTTTGCTCTTTTTTCATTATTTTCGCCTTTGATCTTTCTGACCTTCAAACACTAAATAAAAATTCTCTGAAAACAAAAATAATGTCGTTTAGATAGAGATTAGTCTGAACTAGAAAATTTATTCGAATCAAAACAAAACATCTGTGCATTAAATTATCAAACCCTAAATTTGGAAAATTCCATACATGCTTTATTCGAAAAGCTGTATTAAAAAAACCGAACTTGGTTAAAGAAAAGGACAGTTACAGAAAAACAATTTAGAAGAAAAAGAAAATCATAGCTATTCAACAGAAAAGAAAACTGTTTTGCAGAAAAATTATCCAGCAGAAAAAGAAAATTATTTTGCAGAAAAAAAAATATTTTTAGCAGATCTAATTTATCAGCAGTACAGGGAATCATTGCTTGATCGAATCAGACGAGCGAACAAAATAAATTTGAGAAAGGAAAAAAGAAACTTAAATTTACAGAAGAAAGTTATTCAGCAGAAAAATAAAATTAATTTGCAGAAAAAGAAAGCTATCTCAGCACTATATTAAATTATTTAGCAGAAATACAGGATCTGAAATCATTATCAAAAACT